GTCTCAAGAGTCCATAGCCCACTCTTTCCTTTCTCCCCAGACGGTCCCCGCACCGCCACGAACAGCAACATGCTTCACGGACGAAACTTCAACGATGACCGATTTGCGTTGCCTACGTTGCCTACTTTGACTACACGCTCTGATACCGTAGCTGCTGCTCCGCCTGCTTCTGAAGGTAACCAGAATGCAGCCGCGGAAGACACAAGGTCAGTACAAAATCCACGTCGCGTATCTAGCACTATCGTGAGGCACGTGCATGATGACTCACTACCCTTCAGGGCCGCATCAACAGATCCTACTGCGTTCAGGCAACATCCCCCCGGGCGTCCTAGGCCATCTTCTATTCTTCAGCGAGCACAAGAGGCCGCTGCATCAGAAACACAGCGCTTTCGTTCTCGTGAAGCACGGTCTGCATCGCCCCAAGAAGATGACAATAGCACCGAAGTCCCTGAGGAATCAAACTAGACTTGTTCCGTTGAGATATCAGGCGTGTTAGAAAGAGGAGAAAGATGAGCGCGGTTTGGGCGATTTGGTTACGATTGAAGCTTGAGCGCGTTCGAAGAGACAATGCATAAGACCCCTTGAGCTCTGAAGTGGGGTGAAAAGAGAATGTTCATGATGCAGCTCGTGTTAATGATGGGTAGTTGGCCATTGATTCAGGGCTTACCTTAACCGGGTCTTCAACGGTTTGATGTAGACATCGAACAAATACAATAGAAATCATTGATCAAATGTCTTGTTTGTCAGCCCCGGTTCCTATTTAATGTCGGGAGTGAAGGCCTGAGGACGCGAAAGCCCAGATCATCGTGGCATATATTTCACCCAAGACCACAGCAGAAGCAGTGAAAGTAGTAGGCCATAGATCTTGTCCATGGGATCTTACACAGTGAATGTCTGCCTCGCCACAGTGCTGTACAGGCACAGTCCAATGCTGTTCACAGTCTAATAAAGAGGAGCCTATATTGTGTGATCCCCGCCGGGTTTCAACAGACAATTTCCTCAACCCACACTTGACTCTCCAGTCCCACCCGATAGTTCCAACCAGCCCAGCCGTGAACATGGACTCCTACGTCGGGCGTAGAATTCCGGAGCCTAGTGATACATCATCGTCTTCTAACGAGCGTACTGTCCCACAGACCAACACCACACCGCCGTCTAACATGCCCGCTCTCCGCAGCCAAGGAGAGTTCTTCATGACTGGCATCGTACCAGCAGGGCCCCAGCCCGAAGAATCAGATTGCTCGATTTGTGCCGAACACCTCGCCGAGGATGTGGTACAGATAGCTCGCCCATGCGGCCACACGTTCCATGCTGTCTGCCTGCTCACCTGGCTCCAAGGCGATGGACGACGAAACCGCACTTGTCCCAACTGCCGCTGTGAGCTATATGCGGCGCCAGCTCCAGCACCATCGAGCTATGCTCGCACCCGAGAAGGTATCATGGAGCGGAGAATGCAGGCAGAACGCCAAGCCTTCAGGCGTGCAGGAAGAGTTGAGGAAGGTGACCTAAGATTGGCTCAGCTCGCTTTGGGACGACAGACTGCCGCGACCCGCACATCGGTTCATACGGAACCGGTAAACTTCGATCGTCGCAACATCCGTTCTGCAAATACACCAGAGTCCATCAGGGGATGGGCAAGGCGAACCCAAGCTGAGATGTCTAGACAGATGACTCCGGAAGATAGGGAACTCATGCGAAGGCTGAGACAGACTGCTCAGGAACGAGAGCAGGAACGAGAGGATGAAGAGGCCCGCACAGCGCTTGATAGGATCCCGCCCGGTGCAGATCGTATGTTATTCCGGTCTGTGGGCACACCAACCTGGAGAAGTAGTATGGAGGAGGCACTTGAAGATGGGGACCCTGAGCGTCCCACAGAAAATAGGAGGAACACTATGCAAAGAATGTCACAGATGGTTGCGGATGGAGAAGCCCCAGAAATCGAAGAGCTAATTCGTAGGCAACCGGCTTACCACGCCTTAGGTGGTAGGCCAACAGCCAGCTCCGCCGATCAGATGTCAGCATCGGGACGAGCAGAAGAAAGGGCTAGTCTGCAATCTAGGCAAGACTTAGCGGTGGCTCAAATGAGACAATTGGAAGCAGCAGCCAGCTCCGCCGACCAGACAACGGCATCGGGAAGAGCAGAAGAACGGGCTAGACTGCAATCTAGGCATGACTTAGCGGTGGCAGAAATGAGACAACTGGAAGCGGCGCGTCTTCAAGATGGGCTTCTACACGACAGTGCCGAAGCAGTACACCTCGAGCGAAACTTGGCAGAGTTGAACAGAATCAGGCGCGACAGCAGACAGGAGCTTCAACAGTTGGATAGACGAGCCGCAGAGGAAGACCGTTCGTCAGATGATTCGATTCCCACTATCAGGGAGCGCAGACGCCAACGCATGGCAGCTAGACGGGCAGCTGGAGAAGACAGCTCGTCGGATGATTCGGTTCCCAGTATCAGGACGCCCAGACGCCAACGCATGGCAGCTAGACGGGCTGCTGGAGAAGACAGCTCGTCAGATGAATCGAGTCCCAATATCAGGGCACGCATACGCCAACGCATGTTAGCTAGACAGGCTGCTAGAGAAGACAGCTCGTCGGATGCCTCGTCAGATGTCCCCAGCATCAGGATGACACGCATTGAAGCTATGGCGAACTTACGAGCCGCTGAAGAAGCCAGATCTCCACATAATTCGAACCTCAGCAGCCGACTTGCTGGTGCCGCTGCGGATTTGGATTTAAGCAGAGCGAGGACAGCACGAATAGAGCAAGACATCCAGACACTGCTAGATGGAGCCTCAAGGGGACACACCAGCCAGACGCCAGGATCCTCAGCAACCAACAACATTCCTCCACAACCTACGCAGTCTGCGGCTCGAGGTCCTATCATTGGGAGAACCGTATACCCGGATCCGCCTCGAAACACCACCGAACCTATCGCCCCAACACGCGATATCGCGCCGAGTAGATTAGCACGAGCCCGCCGTGTCGCATTGCTGGCCGGTCGTGGCGACGATGTCCCAGAAGAAGAGATCGCCGAGTATTATGGCTTTCCTGGTCTGACTCAGCTGCACGATGAAGCCACTTTTACACGCATGTCGAACTTGGCGCGCATGCGCGTTCGCGCTCAAGCTGCTGCTGAGCTGGCCACTGTGGACATGATGAATGAACAGGATGATGAGATTCGAAACTTGTTTTGGCCTGGAAGGCAAGCCAATGACAACAATTGATGATGTAGCTTGTTCGACATATTGATGCGTTGTCGGTTTTTCTTTTGCTCTTTAGATGGATCCTTGGGTATATAGCTTGCCTCGACTGAATAACTCTTTCCCTTGTATACTACCCCCCAGTATTGTTTTGTTCCTCCCGTGATACTTCCTTCTACTTCAACACCCACTCTCTTTCCCCCTCCTTCACATCCACAACATCACGATCGTTTTTAATCCACTTTGCCTCCCCGAACGGCCGCACAACAGCCAATACCTTCGCCTTGACCAACGCCAACGGCAGCGGTCCAAACAGTCTACTATCCCTACTCCACTCCAGATTATCCCCTTGTACCCAACAATGTCCTTCTGGCACTCTTATGACCTCTTCCCTTACGCTCGCCCATTTCCCCTCATGATCCACAGCGTGCACATCGTCTTCCCCGCGACCAGGCGTGACTATGCTGACGAAGTCGCCCGGCATCCCAATGATGCGCTTACACCCGCTCTGTTTGGGAAATATGGGATGATTATAGGTTATGATGTCACCAACGCGGAGGTTGCGACCGCGACGATGAAGCGACGAGTATAGTATCCACGGGTGGCCCTTATAGTGATGGGGGATCGTAGGCACCATAGAGATGCCGCTGGTGGAGGATATGCCGCCAATGTAACAAGAGCATACGTGGAGGAAGACAAAGCCTTTTGCGACGGTGAGCGCGCTACCTACTGGGGTATTAGCAAATCGATTCGGAGCATAGTGTTGCAGGTACTTGCGGCCTAGGGTTTGGACAAAGCCGGAGCGGTTGAGGGTGCTCCATAGTGGCGGCATTACAATCGGATCCTGAGCTTTGCTATCGCTCTAGCATCTTTTGTTTGTGATGTGGTGCCCGCAGTGATCCACAATGCTGGTGCGGTGTTGTTGTTAGACCATCATCGAGGTATGAGATGCTGACTTGCGCTGGTCTTGCATGGGAAAGAGCTATCGGGTTTTCGGAAGTTCCCGTCGGAGGACTTGGCATCGCATCAACCGACATGCCTTCATCGTCAGTACCGATTCCGCGTCATAACAGGGATTTTGCGTCGCAATGCCCCAGGCAAAGCCACTGCATTTCACCAATCGTCTTACGCGTTGCTCTAGCTAGCTTTCGTTAGAAGTTTATCACTTGGCCGAACCTAGCAGATAGCTCCACCCGGAAATTGTTACGAGATTGGAACGGGCAATTGCTTGCTCTTTTGCTTCGCAAGTATGAGGACCGAATAATATTGGTATAACATTATGTTTCCGGATTTCGGTAGACTTGGCATGTAGTGCTGGCGGAGTGGTTGTATAAAATGTAGTACGAGGAAGCTGGAGGTATAGTCGCAAAAGAGCAACTGACTGAAAACATGCTTTCAACACCTCTACTATTTCTGTTCGTATCGAACGCCATCGCTGATTTCGTTGATCCGCGAGACCATCTGGTCAATCGACAACACCAAGCCTTACAGGACTGCCTTCACGCAAAAGCCGTCCCTACTACTCTCAATTCCTCCTCAGATTGGACTTCTCTCACCACCGCATTCAACCTCCGTCTCCAGTACACCCCAGTGGCCGTGACAATACCAGAAACTCCGCAGCAAGTTTCCGATTCGATAACATGCGCAGCTGCAGCTGGCATCAAAGTTCAGCCCCGGTCTGGAGGACATTCGTACGGGAGCTACTCTCTCGGCGGCAAGAATGGTAGCTTGACGATCGATCTACAGAAGTTTAATGAGGTATCTCTGGACAAAGGCAGGCAGCTTACTCGCTTCTTCATGATCTTTACTAACAGATCACAAGGTAGTGGTATCGTTCGAGCGGGAGGCGGCGTGCGTCTCGGAAACCTCGGACTGGGTGTATACAAACAAGGTCAGGCCGCACTGCCTCATGGCACATACCCGGGCGTTGGCATCGGAGGGCACTATACGCATGGAGGCTTCGGATACTCTTCTCGTCGCTGGGGTAAGTACCGCTGTTTTGCAAATATATGTAACGACTCTAGCTAATCTTGATGTTGTTTAGGGCTTGCACTCGACACGATCGTGGCAATGGACGTCGTACTGGCCGATGGAACTCAACTTCACGTCACACGCACTACCCATCCCGAACTGTACTACGCGCTGCGTGGAGCTGCAGATAGCATCGGTGTCGTGACTACCTTCTATCTGCAGACCCAGCCTGCCCCGGCACAGATCGTCAGCTACTCCGTGAACTTCACTTCCGCGCTGAAGTCTTCATCTTCCGTCGCCGATGTCCTTCTCCAGTTGCAGAAGTTTGCCCAATCTTCTCCTCTCATGGACCGTAACATCACACTTGAGATCTACATGAACATATTTGGCACCTTCGAACTCCGAGGCTGGTACTTTGGCGACCGCACACACTTCTCCAGCGCCGTGCTTCCCGCCATGCTTGAGGGTTTGCCCAAGGCCGACAACACAACGATAGCGACCAGAAAGTGGCTCGATGCGCTGCAGGATATCGCAGAAGGCGAACCTCTTGTTGAGCCTTTGACTGGCTACAACAACCACCAGACCTTCTACACCAAGTCCATTGTTACGAGAGAGGCAAAGCCACTTACACGGCGCGCACTGGAGAGCTTTGCTGGGTATGTCATTAGTAAGGGATTGAGCGCAGAGTCCCCATGGGAGACTTATATCTCGCTATATGGCGGGAGGGATAGCCAGATCAATGTTCCATCGCCTGACAGTGCGGCATATTCGCATCGCGATTCGCTTTGGGTTTTCCAGGTAAACTCCTCTCCTCTCCTCTCCCCTCCCCTTCAGACAATACTCATCGGGCAGTATCCCCTAAGCAGTTGGCTAACCTCGTTATTGATAGAACATCGGTTCCTCGGCCAATATGCTTCCACCTTTCGAGTCTAGCATCAAAGCGTTCGTACAAGGACTCAATACTGCTTTGACAGACGCACAGCCCGATGGCGACTTTTTGGCATACCCGAATTATCTGGATCCAGAGCTGACACCAGCGGAGGCGCATCAATTGTACTATGGTGATGCGACTTATGGAAAGCTCAGTGTGATTAAGGAATCAGTAGATCCAAACAAGGTGTTTTGGAATCCACAGGCGATTGGGAACTAAGTAGCTCTTCTCTAAGCCTTTGAATGCCTCAACCTGGTCCTAGTTTCAACCGCAATGCATACATACTATCCTATTCTTGCCGTGTTCTTGTACCTCTCCAAATGAACTCTCATGGACTGGCAATGGATCCTTGCCCTTTTGGGACTAGCTTTCCAGCTACCTGGGTGTTACAACTCAAGATTTGGTGTTTTGCTTAATAAAATTAGACGCACCCTGATAACGCATCCCACTTCACGAATTTTGCGCGATTTCGCATGAACGCGCAAACATGGGTCAGAATAGAGATGAAGTGATGGGATTGAAATTTCCCGAGCAGGCTGCTTTGCGGTGAGTGTGTCATGGATGAGATCATTGCGCTCTCTCGTACTGATCATGTGCGAAGGCCTGCACCAACTGGTCTCGATGCGGAAGGGACATTGCAAGATGCTGTAAGAGGTGCTTCCTTTTCCTCTTCATACTATAAATTCCATATCATTCTGTTGTCTCAGTGCTTAAAACCACGATGCAAATCGCGCGGCTAGTTCTTCTGACGATTTCTCAATCTCATACCATATGTCCCAGATGTCATAATGAACATGGAGCACTTCGATGTATCTTGCGATCTTGCATTGCCACTAATACTAATCTCAATCAGAACTAATAACATCCTACCACGACCTCAATCCCTCGACAATCGACACTCTCACCACTGAACCCTCACCCCTCCAATTCATGCGCCACGTCGCCCACAACCGACCCTTCGTAATACGTAACGGAGCCAAAGACTTCAAAGCTAGAAAAACATGGAACGCCTCGTACCTAAAAACCGTGATGCAAGGCCAGAACGTCAACGTAGCAATCACCCCCCACGGAAACGCCGATTCAGTAGTATCTCTCCCGTCAGGCGGCGCGATATTCGTCAAACCGTATGAGACCGAAGAGCCCTTTGAAGACGTCCTCAACAAGATCCAACGGCAAGAGCAAGAAAAAGACTACAGCGGTCCAACACGCTACGCGCAAACCCAAAACGACAATCTACGTAACGAGTACTCCACGCTCTTCGCCGATGTACCCAAGAGCATACCGTTCGCACGCATAGCACTTGAGCAAGAACCAGACGCCATCAACTTCTGGCTTGGAAACTCGTATTCCACGACTGCTCTGCACAAGGACAACTACGAGAACATTTACGTTCAGATTCTGGGTCAGAAGCATTTCGTTCTCTTGCCGCCTGTAGAAGCGGGTTGTGTTAATGAGAAGAGCGTCTTAGCTGCGACCTACATTCCGAAACGGGAGGATGGCGCGTCTCACAGTGCGCTAGAGAAGGGTGATCTGGTTATCAAGGTCGATGAGCCAGAGGAATACGTACCTTTCGCGACATGGGATCCGGATCAACCTGCTGCCAACACCACGCCTTACTCCCAATACTCGCAGCCACTCCGAGTCACGCTGGAAGAAGGCGACATGCTATACTTACCCGCACTATGGTACCACAAAGTAAGCCAGAGCTGCAACGAAGAAGGGATCTGTTGCGCAGTGAACTACTGGTATGATCTCGACTTCAGCGGCGGGTTTTGGAGTACCGCGAATTTCGTGCGGAACGCCGGGTTGCTGAGCATGGAAGAGAAGACTGCAGTGCAGACAAAAGACGAAAGATGATTGGTGTGTGTATATCAACAAAAGAAACAAACTGTACTACGATTAGGGGTATCTCTAGGATCTACAGTGACAATCAAGTCCAACGCCATGCCAATGCTTCTCTAACTCTCATCTTCGTCTACTGTCAATGCTTGATCTTGACTTTAATCCCTACGCCCCTGGCGCTCTGCCATACACTGTCGCTAACTTTGACGGGCAACTTCCGTCCTTTGAGTCTCTGGTCTATCAACCACAAACCCACGACGAACTCGTATCTGCTCAACCTTCCCACCCCTCTATTGTCTACGAGGTCCCAAACTTCCTCCAATACGTGTGTGGGCAGTCGACTTCTCGTCCAGATCTCTTTGACAAGGAGATTCAGCACATCGGCTGATGGGTCGTCGTCAGGTGGAGCGTTATCCGGTGAGGGTATGTGACGACCCTTGTTGGCAGCCCATACACCTTCATAACGTTTCCGCTCCCGTTCGGTTATCTGGTCGCGCCATCGCTTTCGTGTCCCCTCATGGTGCTTGTTCGGGTGTTTCCGCCCTTTGATGCCCATAATGCGTGTGCCCTTCTTCTTGTACTTGTCGACCTTGTTGTCTTCCTCATCAGAGGATGACGGTTCTTTGCGCATTGTAGTTCGCAGCTTGCCGGCGCTCTTCGGAGGGGATTGTTTGGGCGGCGAAGGCGATCGGTGGAAGGGCGAGTGGTGATGATGCTGTTTGCGCGGAGGGAAAAGAGGCTCGACTGACATAGGTCGAGGGGCCGGCGAGACGTTGCGAGAATGGGAGGCTAGGGCGGCGCCCATTATGGCGCTCGACAGAGACTCGCCAGTCATGTGCTGCGTGATCTGCTTGACAGATTCTCGCTGGTAGTTGTTATGGTACACTGAAGGCGACCCAGTTCTGTTAGCTGACATTGGTCGACGCGGAGGCGAGAGCTTCTGTAGTGGAGCCATCGAGGCTGGGTTCTGGCTCTGGGTGCGAGGCTTGATTTGTATCGGGGCTGAAGGTTGGAGTTTGTTCGCAGCCGGCGCAGGGTCGGTTTTCCGTGCGGTCGATCGTCGCGGCGGAGGTAGAGCAGGTCGAGGCTTCTCTTCCTCTTCCTGGTCTTCTTTTGCTGACTTGAAAGACGTGGGTGTCGACGGTGACTGATAGCTTTCTACAGACGCAGACACTCTGCGGCGCTGTTTGGACGATGACTGCGTTGTGTCCTCCGACTTTGGCCGTGTTTGCCGCGAACCCCTCTGAGGCGGCTTCGAGGGCGGAGACGTGGATGTGTTGATTTTTGCCAACTGCACCGGCTTCTGTTTGATTGGGGGAGACTTGAGAGGGTCCTTCTTGGGTGTATTGAAGTATGCCTGGTCGCTGCTGCCATCAGCATATTGTGGGGGCAGCTGGATCTTGTGCTTCGGTTTCGGCTTGACGGGCGGCGGTGTCTGCGTTCTGACTCTCTGCAGCGGTGCATCATCTTTCGGCTCGGGAGGCAGTTTGAACGCACGTTGTGGCTTGGGCGATTTCACAGGGGGTGGTGAATTCTGCGCAACGCGTATCGGTGCGGAAGGCTGCTTCGTGGGTGTGCTGGGTCGCGCCTGCTCAAACATCTTCACCAGCGAATTCGTTGGCGGTATGGGCGTCTCGTCAGTAGCCTTGTGTTGTGGCTCTGGTCGTCGGGCATTGCGCGCCGCTGCAGGTGACTCTAGGCTGTCTCTCCTCTTCCGCGACTGTTGCGTGGGCCTCTGAGACTCGAGTCTCGCAAGCACATTCCCTACGCTGCCCGAGGGAGGCAGTGCATCCCGCTCGTGTGGCTGCTGTTCGCTCATGGCGGGCGGAACAACGGCCTTGGCCTGGGGTATAGGCCTCAGAGGGCTGTGTCGAGCTGCCGCAAGCCGTGCCGCGATATTCGAAGGCGACGAGACGCGGTCGGGGTGATCGTCAGGCACGCTCAGCGACGTCGTGCTGTTCGAATGGGATAGGTTCGGCCTACCGACGCCTACGGAACCACCGGTATGGTCCCTCCGCAAGGATGCCGGATTGCCTGTGCCGACTTTGGTTGCAGCGAGCAAAGCCCCATTGTCTCCTCCAGTATACGTGTTCACCAAAGGCTTCGGTTTCGCGGGAGGTTTGGAGAAGGCTCGAGCGGCACCTTGTAGCGCAGCATCTCGTACGTTGTGTTGGGTATCGCCGGTCGACTGCGGGACCCAGCCCTGCTTACGTGCAGCGCTCATTTACGGTCCATTGGATGGTGAGTAATAATGACGTATACGGACAATTAGGGGACAGTAGTGCGGTTGGAAAAGGTGTTTTGGCGCGACATGAAAGCAAAGAAACGAAGGACTAAAGGGAAAACGAATGTTGTGGAGTCGCAATTCCCCCAGTTTCCAAGATTAGTATCGTCAGCCTTGTGAATCACGGCGTAGGTACCCACTGGCATGGGTGACGCCTTGGGAGATGCGCTAGCTCGTTGCAGCCTGACAGCCACGTGATCACGCGTATTGCGGCTTCCAGGCAACCACGACCCTGCCTTCATATACAAACAAACCTTACACCCGTCGACTCACTCGTCCAATGCACCCAAAATGGCCGAAGATATACCAATGCCGGATGAGGAGGCGGTTAGGGAGAACACGCTCATGTATGGTCATGACGATGAGCTCGACGACAAGTACCCTACCCGGCCGCTGAACCTCCACAAGACGCCCCGCTTCCATACCCTGTTCACGGACCTTTTCAACCCGCTCATGGAAACACAGAAGAGGAAGCAGCCTGTGGGAGCTCGTCGAAGAGTCGGGCCTCACGGACACTCCAACCTGTCACCCCATGAAGCGAAACGCAACATCATCGAAAGATATATTGCAAATTGGCGAAAGGAAGTTGGTAACGACTTCTACCCCGCAATGCGTCTCATGATTCCCGAAAAAGACAGAGATCGAGCCATGTACGGTCTGAAAGAGAAAGCAATTGCCAAGATTTTGATCAAGTGCACCAGCATGAAGCCCAAATCTATTGATGCCGACCACATAACGGAATGGAAGCTACCTAGTCAGCTCAGCTCAGCTTCGAATGCATCTGCGGGCGACTTTCCTGGACGATGTTACGATGTCTTGTCAATGCGGCAGATGAAGACCGAGTACAGCGACATGAGCATCGCCGAAGTCAACAATGCTCTGGATAAGCTGTCGCAGGTTGGCGCCGAAGAGGAGCAAGTCAAGATCTTCAAGCGGTTCTACCGAAGGATGAATGCGGAAGAGATGACCTGGCTCATCCGTATGATCCTCCGTCAGATGAAGATCGGCGCTACAGAGAAGACACTCCTCGACATCTGGCATCCGGACGCGGAGACACTGTTCAATATCTCGTCAAACCTGCGGCGAGTGTGCTGGGAGCTCTTCGACCCGGAGATTCGTTTGGAGGGCGAGAGCACTGAGCTGAGCTTGATGCAATGCTTCCAGCCACAGCTAGCTCAGTTTCAGGACAAAGTAGGCAACTTTGAGAAACTGGTGAGCCGTTTCCAAGCAAATCCGGACGATGACACGTTTTGGATTGAAGAGAAGCTCGACGGGGAGCGCATGCAGCTCCATATGATTGAAGATCCCGACGCACCCGGCGGAAGGACCTTTGGGTTCTGGTCACGTAAAGCCAAAGACTACGCATACCTCTACGGCAGACACTTCGAAGGCGACGAGGCCGGTGCACTTACACGTTTCATCGAGGACGCCTTCGGAAAGAATGTACGGAACATTATCCTTGATGGGGAGATGATTACCTGGGATATGGCGAGGGACCACATCGTGGACTTCGGTACACTCAAGACGGCAGCTATATCTGAGAAAGAGAATAAAACCGACAAGGATACTGGTCAGCGGCCACTGTTTAGGGTGTTTGATTGCGTCTATCTGAACGACAAATCACTCACACAATACACGCTACGCGATCGACGTCGCGCCCTTGAGAGTGCCGTCAAGGGCATAAAACGTCGTCTGGAGATCCATCCTTACATTGAGGCGCGCTCGCATACCGAGATTGAACCGGAGTTACGGAAGGTCGTTGCAGAGTCATCCGAGGGTCTGGTGCTAAAGAATCCGCGCTCCATGTACTCTCTCAATCAACGGAACAACGACTGGATGAAAGTGAAGCCAGAATACATGTCAGAGTACGGCGAGTCGCTCGACTGCATTGTTATCGGCGGATATTTTGGCACTGGGCATCGCGGTGGCGCCCACTCATCCTTCCTCTGTGCATTGTTGGAGAAGGACACGATAGTGGCGAAAAACCCACTGTGTAAATCCTTTTTCAAGGTCGGTGGTGGGTTCTCTAAGGAAGAGTACGCTGAAATAAGGAGTCGCACGGAAGGTAAGTGGCGTAAATGGGATCGTCGACAACCGCCTCCGTTCATCGAGCTGGGCGGTGACGACTGGAATCGGCAACACGAGCGGCCAGATGAATATATTTACCCCTGCAATTCCGTCGTCCTGGGGTGCAAAGCAGCAAGTGTGGAGAACAGTGACAAATTCAGCATGGGATACACGCTTCGCTTTCCCCGCTTCCAAAAACTAAAGAAAGATAAGCGATGGGATCAGGCGCTCTCAACACAAGAGTGGCTGGAAGTAAAGAGCCGAGCGGAGACAGAGGTCAATGAGAAGGAAAAAGAGTTCAAGATCGAACAATCCCGAAGGAAGAAAGTCAGGACAACAAAGAAGCCACTGACTGTCGTCGGCAACGATACCGTCACAACACCATACGCAGGCCCAGCATCCAAAGTCTTTGAAGGCCTAAGCTTCTTCATAATGACCGAGCAAATCACCCCATCAAAGAAGTCCAAAGCCAATCTTGAAGCCCTAGTCAAAGCCAACGGCGGCAAAATCGTACAGCGCGACTCCATGGACAAGAACCTCATCATCGTCGCAGACAAGCGACTAATCAAAGTGGCCTCGCTCGAGAAACGCGCAACGAACAACATCGTCAAGCCTGTCTGGATCCAGGATTGCATCAGGCAGAACGAGATAGATGCCACTCCCT